TTTGTTTCACTTCATCAATTCTAGGCAATGGCACCAAAATTCAAAATAAAGGAACCCTCCAGCAGTTTAAAAAACAAAGGSAAAACAGTAGGTGGAGAGAGCAGCAGTGTCACTGGCAATCCTGATATGACCTGTTGGTTGCAGTGCTACAACATCAGGAGGATGTTCAGCATCTTGCAAGGCCTGACCAATCCCTTTGCTAACACAATCCACAAGAATGAATATCAATAAATCATCCTCCCAGGCTGATCAACGTTCATACTGGAAGTGTAGTTATACTCAGGTCTAATACATTGTTTTGGCTGAGTAATGCATCCTTAAATTGTGGATCTTGTCTGAAGGTTCAGAAAACTCTTGAGTCTTTTTCTGTTAATCCCAAAGGACTCTCCATTCAGAATCCTATGAAGCCTTTTCTTAGTTAATGACTATTTCTTTCAGAAGTACCAAATTTCAGCAGGTACTGTCAAATACTTCTCTAAGAAACAACATACACAAAACTATGCTGTTACCTTTTGTACAAAACGACACTAGTGCAGCAATATTGCACTATTGCACAGTATGAACCATCTTTGAACCTCACTGGGGTTATGAGGATGCAGAGATACGCAGTGGTGGGAAGGCTGACAATGTGTRTTTGACTGCCCTTCGCCTCTAGGCAGCCCTGCGAGGTGTACTGTGAAGTTGCTCGGGGCAGATATGTCAAAGGCTCAGTTACCAACAGCTCTCTAGTGACAGTTCCCATTCAGCTGCCTGACCTCAGGCACCCTTCCTGAAATGGACACAGGCCAGTTCTTGTCCATGGACACAGGGTAGCCTAAGTAAAAGGCTGCTTCATTGCCCACAAAGCTTGCAATTTATGGATCACTTAAAAACAGAAGAAAATACTCTTGAGATAAACTGTTCACAACCTGAAAGTCAGTGCAAAATCCACAGAATCAAGAAAGCTTTTCACTCTCTTGTTAATTGAATCAAACAACACTTGTAAGGTTTTCTGTTCTGAACAAGATGGGAATGTCCTCCTTTATCAGGATAGAAAAGCAAAGAACAAAGCAACAGAGTGACTGAATAGCCATAGTCTTAAATCACAATCCCCAAGATTGTATTCATAATGCACTTTATAAAGAACTCATAAATGCCTARTGGAATCTTTAAGTACTTCAATATTCAAGCAGGTTTTAATTTATGGCAAACAACTMTGTTACCTTCAACTTACGATCACACCTGCCTACAGCACAATTTAAAGAACTATTAACATAACATCAGCAGGTTTTATATTTAACCATTTCTAAATTACACATGAAGTTACTGATAAGAAGTGTAACCAGTTTATCTGGTAAGAGAACTGTTTCTATTAATCATTCAGCTACTTCTGAGAACACTATGTCTGTAAGAAATCCTGGTGGTACCAAAACCTCAATGCAAGTCTGATCCKGGTTAGCAGCTCACAATTAACACCACATATACCTAAAACAGAGTTAAGAAACACTAAGGAAATGTTGTAAAATARTGCTCCAGAAGTTCATGCACTGGCATGAGAGAATGGGCTATTGAATCAACTGAGACACTGTGAAGAAATAATGCTTTTTATGAGTYTTCCTAAAATCACCTTCCAAAGTGCCTCTTGGAAGCTGCTTGTGCTCATGAGTTCACATCCAAGAGCTTGATGAAACTGCCCTAATTCATTCAACAATTTAGTATGCAACAGATTAAACACATGGATTTAAACAAAAATAAATCATTCCACGGGATGAAGCATTACACAAACACAAGCATCTTTGGTGCTGAAGAAACTCAGTTTGACTGGAGTTACGTTTTCAACATGTCCCTTGAAACAGAAAAGCAATTGAAAAGATGCATTTGGAAACAAAATGCTTTGTCTAAGTAGTATCAGCCATTGCTGTAAGTCTGAAAAAGAAAGATTAAGRAAAAGCCCCTATCTGCTAGATCACTTACAGAGGTGAAACATTTGAGGTTTACATGCTGCAAGAGGTTAGAAGCCACTGCTTTAGAACAGCAGTAAATGAAATCTACAGTCTTCCACCAACTGCTAATCAAGAACTTTTTCAGTCTCCAGTGTCCGAGGTCTGACTCCCGAGTTTAACATCTTGTTTAGCACAAGGACCCAAGCTGTGTAACATGATCCTGAGTCTCCACTACCTCAAGTCTTCTCCTGGCCCTCTCACTCCTTACCTCAGCAAGTCTTGAAGAAATCATTGAGCAATTTGCAGGGATTGGAAGTGAACAACACTGATGACTGCTCTGTGTGTATATTAACTGTGCCAGGACTCGTTTCATAAGAATGAGAAGTTTGTCATTTTCAGTTGTGCAGAGCGTTTTGTGCCAGATGACTTCTGCCTTCCTCCCTGGAGAAAGCTACTGAGCCAGCTCCAAACAGATGCAGCTCTACAGACCACCTTCTTCTGGAAGCATCAGATAGTCAAAACACTTCTATGGCCTCCAAACAATTGATTTCTTTCTTTAAAACAAATCAGACAAAAAAAGCTCTATCTTCAYTACCAGCTCATTTGTTCTGCTCTACTTGTGAACCCACAAGAACCTGCCTCACAGCTGCAGARGTGGGAGCTCTTCCCTCCAGGTTTTAGCAGAGAAGACACTGTGGTACAGTGGCATCAGGCACAACAAGGATATTCCATCACCACTCCCAAAGTGTTTCCCTAACAGGAGGCTGAAGAAAAGCAGGGACAAGACAGTTAATTTTTTCCATAGGCCAACTCATGCTTTCCTTGCTGAAAAAAAAAGTTAACACTATTAATGTGAAGAGAAATTAGACCAGGGGACAAGAGACATGGGGAAGAGCTGACCCTGTGCCTTCTCTTGTTAAACAAAACTCTTGCTTTGCATGCAATCCATAGAATATTAAACTTTACATACTCTGGAATTGGCCTGAAGCCTAACAAAACTGGAACCACCCCATCCTTATTGGCTTTATATAGATAGGTACAGAAATATACAAAGTTGAGATGATTCATGCTCTCTGGAATGAAGGGCAGCAGCACAGCTTTGCTTGAGCAGATATKCATGGGAGCAGGAAAAACAGAGTGAGCACTCTGCTGGGAAAAGCTGCTGAGGTTGTTCTTGGTAGCTACTGAAGAGGAAGAACATTACTGAAAAAGGGGGTAGGGCAGCTCAATGAAGAGACTGGAAGGTGCTCAGGGCAAACAAGATCTTTTGAAGCACTCATCAATAAAAACAAACCTTGTGAAATAAAAGGGCCTAAAATCAAAATATGTAGTTAGCAATTTTAGTTCTTGGAGCTTCTCTGCATGTGGCACAACCAAAGGACAACGTATCATAAAAAATATAAATAATTACTCGTAATTATACATAAAAATGTAAGTGGTATGCTTCTGAAAAGGCAASAAATGCTCTCCACACATAGGCTATGCACTCTAAATGACATGGGAGCTCAAAATATCTTTAGCAATATTGATAGATTCCACATTTTTCTGAAACACCCAAGAGACACTTCAGTGCTTTAATCAAAACATTACTCCAAAAATGCACAAATAAACACCCAAGTATTCTAAAAGTATTTGGAAAGCATTCTGAAACTTTTAATAATCACCTCAGGATGTTGTAGTTCCTAAGGAAAACTTAAGATTATTTTCCAGCAGTTTGATTATGGAAAGAAACTGCTGATATGAAACTGGAGAACAACTGTAGATTTAAGGGTGCTGATGTAATTTTTCCACACAAAGCAGCTGAACTCCATAGAAAGAGTGTCAGGTTAGAATATTACACYGCTTCATTGACTGCAATCCCATTGCAGCACATTTCTGCACTGCACCAATGAGATGGGAACTCTTAACTGCACAGCTATACAGATGTCGAGCCTTCAGAAGCCAGGATAACCATATGTCAAACTTCTGTGGTTTTGCCACTTGGTATTTTGGGTGCATGCCTTCATTTGTGATAATAAATATCAGGCCACAAACTMATGTCTCCTCAGATATCTAGTATGTTAAACACTCAAAACAGCTTGAAAATCTAAACATTTCTGCTGYTAGCTTTGAGTTCTCCTCAAAGAGTTATGCTACAATATATACCAGATGAATAGGCTAGGGATAAGACAATGACTGCCAGTTGTTGGCATGGGCTTCTCTGCCATTTTGCTCGAAATTTTAAGAAAATCTAAATCCTAATACGTATTTCCATGCTGAAGACTGAAAATTTCAAAGTTGCTCCTAATCATATCTTGCCTATAGGCAGGTACAAAGAAAGGTTTGTGTGTAAGGMATCTGTGGAAATGGACAGAGCAGTACTATGTATTTTAAGTATCAATTAAYAGTCCCCAAGGCATTTTCTTCACATAGCAAATGGGGAAATGTGATAGCAAAGTTAAACAAATGACACAGCATCAGACAGCCAGTCTGGAACAGCAGAGGCAGCAGAATTCAACCCCTGCCTCTCATTCAGAACACCTTAATCACCACACAATTCCTTCTGTATGCATATRCTTACATAAAATATATTCCTATTATGTATGTTAGCTTCTCCACAAGCAAACAACTACTGAGTAGAAATTGCTGTAGCTTAAACAAWGGCAATTGTGTTCCCCTGACAGATGTCTTCCAAATTTGTTACTGTTGTGGCGCACACCTAARAGGAAGGGCTCTTGCCTGGCCCTTTGCAGACCTGAGGAATTAGATCACAGCTGACTAAACCCACGGCATGGATCTCGGAGCTCTGGCTCCTCACTGAAAAAGCTCAGAACACCAGAACTGCAAATGAAACCACACTGAACACAATTTTATGTGGTGTTGCTAGAAAAGCACTCCCTCCCCAATGAAAACAAGAGCAGTGACTGTCCTTTTCCTCTCCTACCAGACTCTTAGCTTATACAATCTCAGATTTGCAATGGAAAAACCACACATATATAAATACTAAACCAAATCAGCAGGGTCAAGTCTCTCTTTTCACAATTACGTTTCCAGAGTTGTCTCCAATCAAATTAAAGCTCCAACACCAGAACCATCACATTAATGGTTACTTTTCTTTATTATCTACAGAAACTTTTCTGGCCAAAGTAGTAGAGACTCTATAGGAGTCCACTAACTTTACAAGGTGACGGCATTTCTGTGTTTATTGTAAGTCATTTCTATTGCAAATTGCAACAACTTTTCAAAGTGCAACTGTGATTTGGAAATGCAGGCACACTAATACATCAATTGCCATGACTAATGTATAAACTTTTAATGACCTTGGCAAAATCTATCTTTCATTGGGCAAGTGCCACTATTTTGACTGTACAAAATGTTTTGGAAATATGTTGAAAATTATACTTGTTTTGGAAAATATTTCAGGATTTCAGTATAGCAAATGGAGCTGTATTAAATAAAACTTTGACATGGAGGAGAAAACACTCCAAGGTTATATAAGTCTTTTTTTTCTTTTAAAAGAGGTATCCTCCAAATGTTGTACATTCACAGAATGCTGACTTTTTATCCAAACAAACTTAATAAGATAAAACATTATCTTGAATGGTTTTCAGTTTCATTCAGTCACTGTCATCTTCTTGTTTCAGACCACCTCCTTCTTCATTAGTGCCCTCTCCATCGCTTTCCTTGTCCCAGTCCTTCATAGATGCTCCCATCATGAAGTCATCACGCARTATATTCCATTCTGGCCCCTCTTCAGATTTCACTTCACCCTGAATGTTTGAGGGAAGGYAAAAAAGAAACAGAGGAACATGAGTGAAATGTGAAAGGCAGTAAAAGGTACAAGGTCTCCATGCAGTCAAAATAACACCTCCTACAATCAGCAGACAGAGGGCCAGCTCTTTGTGCAAATGGTACAGAAACATGTAAAATGACCAAAAATTACTTGATGCTAAAAAGCAAATTTGTTTTAACCAACCAATAAAAGAAATATGGAAACAAAACAATTATTCCTCATGGATGAAAYAGTCAACCCTGGGCATGGCTTCCTTTATTAAAATCTTTCTTGGCAATCAGAATGGATTCATGATATCATTAATTAACCCCCAGGTGCTGCTTCATTAGAACRCTTCTTGGCACATTTCTAAAACACAAATATGGATTTAATAAAGGTTTAAATCCCCCCCCCCCCATTTAATATTTAACATATTCAGTGATATGTGAAYCAAATCCCCTTTATGTGAATTATTACCTCACTACCTGGGCTTGTCATATGGTACAAAGCTGCCTCTAAAAGAAACAAAGTTGATCTACTCCTAGCAAGCCAACAACACCTTACTCCAAATTTCCTACCTCTTGGAAGTGGATAAACGGGAGGCCCACTACACAGACCAGTGAATAATAAAGAAAAAGGCCAGGAGTGTAGTTTCAGGTTAGCACTGAAAACAGCGCTTGGTCGCAGCTCTTCGAGGTGACAGATCACGTTTGGGCAGTGCAACAGCCCCATCCTGTGGCAACACTTTCTAACAACAGCTCGAAGCTATTCCTACAGCCTTCCCGGAGGAAAATACCAAAAGCTGTTCAATGTACTGCAGGATTTATTGCTGTGGTTTATGCCCTAGAAGCAAAACACTCCTGAGAAACAACATGGCTCAGTGTCCAGCAGGCAAGCAAAAAATTGTCCTGTCAATTGTCCCACCCTTGGAATTAGGGGCACTGGAAACACTGATTTAGTTTTGTGGGGTCCAGGCAGGCTTTCCCCACTCCAAAGAAGGGACCTCAGCTGACTCACCCGAGGTTACATGACTGCCACCTCCTGACAGGGGTGCAGTGGTTGGGATCATCTCTTCCAGCATCCYCTGCAGGCAGGATTTGCCTACTGGATGCAAAACCTACAGCAAATGTATGATCTGTCCATGCCTCYTCTCTGTCATGCATCTAGCAATGTGACACCACTGCATATTCACGCTGATGCCGTGCAATCTTTGTGAGAGAGCTGTCYACAGAATTTCACAGCAGGACAAATGAGAAATAAAAGCGTGCAGGTCCACTACTGTAAATCAAACATGTCCTATCAGACCATCAGAAGTTATGGGACTGTAGAAAGTCTGCCAAACAAGATAGGTATTTTTAATAGGTAATCAAAGCAGCAATGCTACATGTGACTTCTCCTGCAGCTCTTTATGAAACACTACCATCACAAAAATAGGATAACAAGCCTTAACACTTTCCTTCCCAAAAGGAATTTCCCAGGGCCYAGCCCAAAAAAAGAAACTCCACAGCTGTTTCTCAAGATGTTTGCACTGGGTTTTGGTTTAAGGTTTGCTTTTGTGTCTTCCCAGCTGCTCTCATTAATAGCTACTCCCATCCAGCAATTCCCCTTTTTCCCAGGGTAGTGCCTCCTAACCACTTTCCAYTCTTGCAGCAATTCACTTCAAGTGCTACACACAGTAAACCCTAATATCAACTCAGGGTAATTGATTACCTGGAATTAAAGAGCTACAGATAAGGCAGATTCCTAGACAGACCCTAAAATATTCACACAGGAATAATCTGTGTTATTACAATAGTGCAAATACAGGTATTCTGTTCTGGGATACAAGGAGAGAGTAACTTTTTTTCCCCTCCTTTTTAACTGTATTGCAGTAATTGTATATGTTTACCTTTGCAGAGAAGAGAACAGTTAAAAAAAAAAAAATCACAAAAATCCCCACACTTTTTCTTTCTTCATCCCAGATCTTTGATAAATCACTRTTTGAACAGTGAATTTAGGAGAGTTAATCTGAAATACCTAAATGGAAACATCCCATATTTCTTACAAAACAATCTACTTTTTTTTTCAATAATAAACCCAATAGAATTCCTTTCGTTTTCTCCCAGATGCAGAACAGCGATTTTTTTTTTCTTGTTTTGTTTTGGTTTTTAAACAGCACAGAAGGAGCAGATTATTACTGGCAATGACAGTGRAAAGCTCAGGGTTTGAAAAGCCCAATCCTCAAATTCATCACGAGCTACWATTCAGCAACCATTAGTCCTTCTTTCTGGCTATGTCAAGTGAACAACAGGACAAAAGCAGGACCTTAACAAAAAAGGGATGCTGATCCTCCATAGCATTACCTATTATGTAAGGCACCACAAAGGCCTGAATGGAGTTTTACAACAAGCCCAGAGGAGAAAGACAGAAGTASCATGTTCATGCCTCAAAGGTGAAGATTAAATGCTTGAAAGCAAATATTTAATCAATTTTAAGCATGCTTCCAAGTGAAGAAAATGCCTTGTTTAGTATCTTCATTCCTAACTCATTTACTACTCTCTTTTCCTCTCAGAATAAAAATCTCCCCAAATCTACTGCATCACAAAACATTCCCAAAGTCTTAAGAAAATATGCAGCAAGACTATTTGTATAATTAACAATTAGTTCAACTGTAACATCACTTCCCAACTTGCTTTATGTAAGAATGTTAAYACAGTTGGGTTTTCAATGCCATAATCTGGTTTCATCTAAATAAAACAAAACTGATTCTTGGSACGTGGAAAATAAACCAGCTTTCAATCTACTCAAATGCTTTTGAACTCCCAGTCAGCTGTTCATGCACATCTCACTACAACACTGAAGTCCACTTTGAACATCCCCAAATGAAAATAAAGCARGCTATATAAACAATAGAGTGTAATGCTACATAATGTGAATCCTTCAGTAAGGCAAGGAGTGAAACATTCTCGTGTTGCTTTTTTCCCTCCGCTCTTTTATACATAACATAGGAATTGGTTTTTCTTTGCCAGAAGGTGTGGCAACCTATTTCAAAAGGTCTGAGAGGCAGCAATTAGTAAAATACCTTAAGAATCAGTGGTGTTTTACTAGTCACTGCTGATGGACTTATCAGGAGCTGAAATAAGACAAACCAAAGCACACACTGTGGTTACTCTAGTGCTGATACTCACTTGCTGTGATGGACTCCTAGTCCAACAGAAAAGAGATCCAGCAATGAAACAACCACCACATTGCCTGCTTGGTGTGCCACCTAAGCTGTCACAACATTAGCTCAAGTCTCGTCCAAGTATGGCTCTGCAGTGATGCCATACTTCCTAAACTAATTCTGGTTTGAAGATATTCCCTCTAAAATCTGCACCAGGACAAGATGAACTGAAATTCCTAGCCAAGTCCTAATAAAACCACCAAACAAAGCTCCAACAAAGCTTAGCTCTGTCACTTAGAACACGCAGCTGCCCCTTGGCTGGATCAGGGTGGAACTGCCTCCTGGATGTTTTGAAAGATTGGTCTATGAAAGCCTCATGGTAGCAGCAGCAGCTATATGATCAAGACCAAGTTAAAAATCTCCCCATTTTTGTTCTTTTTTTTTATAACCACAAAAAAAATTGAGCTAAAAAATTGCTCTTGGTAAATGACATGACAGTATCTCCAGTGGAGACCTGCCAAGCTCAGCACTGGAGCAGTGGCAGACAGCACTGACACTGAGGTATGAGATCAATCCTCTCTGCCCCTTCTGAATCCTGCCAAGCCTTTCCAGAACCCTATGCTCAAGCAGTCCATAATGCTTATTGGTAAGTAATGGCATTAAAAGAAACGCCTTGAAATCAGGGCACACAGACAAAACACAGCATTTCACTCCACTGTCCATCAGTTCGTGTCACTTGAGCACACCCCAGCTTCTGCCTCTGCAAAGCAGCAAAAAACCCACAGCCCYGTGGAGATTCTTCAAGAGCCTGTGTCCAGAGGACAGGAACTGCAGGGTATTAACAAAGAAATGTTTTTCAGACCCAGGAATTACAATCAGTACGCTGGACCCCCTTGCCTTTGCTCTGTAAAAAAAAAAAAAGATGAAATGCCAGAGCTTGCAGGGACATCTCTCTTTACCATCACCTACAATAAACGTTTATTTGTACCTGTCAGGGAAGGAATTTCAAACATAAATATCTCTCAAGCAATAACTTTAAGCACTGAGAAAACAATTCTAACGTGTCTAATTAATCTGAACTGCCTCCCTAGGTTCCTCTGTTGTGCTCAACACAAACATTTAAGACCTTGAAACACAGCGAAGCTTTTGTCATGATGAAGAAGTTAAAAAGCTTAACTGGCAGAACATTCTCACATACATCTGACCATTACCTTCGCTGTCAGCCTGCTCTGAATGACTGCTGCTATTCTGCTTCTCATCCCCAAGCAAGTAACTTTAAACTCCGAAAACCTCCAAACAAACAGCACAGGCATACAAACCAGTACACTGAGGTGTCTTAAATCTCATTTTAAAGTAATAATAATGACAATAATAACGATAATAACGATGATAACGATAATAATAATAATAATAATAATAATAATAATAATAATAATAATACAACCCCCAGAAAAGAGGGAGGGAATGAAAAACAAAGAAGAGCAGCATAATAATTTCTTGTAAGTTCATTTTCAGCAATATTCGACCTCACAGGCTAAGAAAATAGATGTCCTCCAGGCTGGGAAGAAATTAAAAAAAAAAACCTGCCAAGTAGCTAAAGCAGAAAAACAAGCAGAAAACAAAATGTAATGATTTTTAATAGGAAAATGATACTTGGGTTTGATCATTAGTGTTGCTTGCAACTTTATGTGATTTCAACTGCAGGAAGATCTTGATTCTAAGAAAAGTTCCTATGTAAGCCTGATCCCAAACAGCCAAAACCCCACAGATCTGCAAACTGAGAAAACAACCTGCACAGCTATTAGCTTGAACTTCTGAGCTGAATTCTCAGAGCAACTCACTTTGGGAAGCATTTT